GGTTTCCTTCATAAGAACCATTTCCAAAGGTGTTGAACTGATTGCCCTGTGGTATGCGTCCGACAAGATGATTATTTGAAAGATTCAACACAGAAAGTGGTGTCAAAGATACCAATTCATCTGGAATTTTTCCCACCAGCTCGTTGGAAGAGAGATCCAACCATTCCAGATTCATCAAATTCCCTAGCGACGGTGGGATATGACCAGTAAGGTTGTTATGAGAAAGATTAAGCCCTTTGAGAGAACTAAGCTTTCCAATAACATCTGGAATTTCTCCCTCAAACATGTTATTTGAGAGATGAATACTACTGAATATGGTCAAGATTCCCTGCAGCTCATAGTCGAATCCCTTCCATGTCACAACCAGTGAATATTGATAAGAATTGGCTCCCATCGACACCGTCATGTATTCAGGGGAACCACCGTCTTTATGAGGGTCCATCATCGCATTAAAATTTTCAATGTACCGAACAGGCAAAGCACCAACAAAATAATTGCTGGAGAGGTCCAGAACACGCAACTTGGGAAAACATGGACTTTCTTTGGTGCTCTGCATAGAACCATGGAACTTGTTGGACCTTAAGACAAGCACTTGAAGATCTGGTAGAGATTCCAACCAATGAGGAAATGTATCCTCTATGCGGTTGTTGCCAACGTCTAGAACCTCTAACATGCTACAATTCACCAAAGATCTTGGTAATAGCCCGTCCATTTGATTTCCATGTAAGTTGAGATTTCGTAATCCACAGCCCTCTGGAAACCCAAAGGGTATATTTCCATCAAAGTAATTGGCCTGTAAATTCAACACTGAGACAGACTTAGGAAGACAATTTGGAATCTCCCCAATCAAGTTATTATGAGAAAGGTCAAGAATTTGGAGATAATCCTTTTCACATATCCATTCGGGAATATTTCCATGAATGCTATTTTTGGATAGCACTAGGTTTTGCAGACCATTTGAATGTCTTATGAAATTGGGGAATTCACTCAAGTTACAAGATGAAAAGGAAACATGAGTTAGTTTGGGTAATGTGAAGTTGGCATTGACATTCATTCTCAAGGACAGATTATTGTCTGAAAGAAAGATGATTTCCAGATTTTGAAGCGCCGAGAACATGTCAGCTTCTACTAAATCACTAAAATGATTTGATGATAAATCAAGATGACTAAGATTTACTAAATTAGCAATTGAGTTAGGAATTGAGCCCTGGAGTTTATTGTTTGACAAAACTAGGCGTCTGAGTGAGTTTTGCTGGAATTGATTTATTGGACCTTGAAACTGGTTATGATCGAGATGCAAGCCCTCTAAAAAAGGTAGGGTGAAAATCCAAGGTGGCAACATGCCGGAAAATTGATTATTGGAAAGGTCAAGAGAGATAAGTTGGGTGAGGTTTGCAATTGATGATGGGATTTGTCCACTAAGATTGTTAGAATAAATGTGTAGGTAAGTAAGTTGCCTTAAGTTACCTATGGAAGCTGGAATGGGACTAGAAAACTGATTATTCATAAGGATAAGAAAGGTAAGTTGGGAGAGGTTGGCAAGTGATAATGGGATTTGTCCGCTAAGATGGTTAGAATAGAGGTGTAGGGTAGTAAGTTGCCTTAAGTGACCTATGGAAGCTGGAATGGGACCAGAAAGCTGATTACATGAAAGGTAAAGAGTGGTAAGTTGGGTGAGGTTTGTAAGTGATGATGGGATTTGTCCCCTAAGATTGTTATAATAGAGGGATAGGTAAGTAAGTTGAGATAAGCTCCCAATGGAAGTTGGAATGGAACCTTGCAAGTTGCAGAGAAGATTCAGATACTGTAATGACTTTAGATCTCCTATAGACTCTGGAATGGAACCTCCGTAATCCATATCAAGTAAATACAACCGTTGGAGAGGACTGCTCCAATTGGAACCTGGAAGATCAATAGCGAGGTTCCAGTTTCCACTTAAATAAAAATTCTTGAGATTTGGAAAGCGGAAAATACTGTTTGGAAAGTTTCTGCTTAACCCACTCTTCCTAAGATCAAGAGTAGCCAATGAAGAAGAGAGATTCATGAAGAAATCAGGATAAACAGATCTCATGTTCACTCCACTAAGCACAAGTTCTCTCACCTCGCTCAAGTTGTGAACAAGATTTCTGAAGGTAGTTGTTTCAAGGATCAATTCAGGAGAATCATCATAGAAGGAATTAGAGAGATTGAGAGAAACTAACTTGGGGAGGTGAGCAATTTCTCTCGGAACTTGGCCCGAAAATTGAGAAGAAGAGACATCAAGATGCTTTAGTCTAGTAAACTGACTGATTTCCGATGGAATCTTGGAATGCCTAAAATCATTCAAGGCAAGATTGAGGCTCTGCAGGTTTCTGAGGAAGAAAAGAGTGCTGTTGGAAGGAAAGGTACCATAAAGGAAACTGCAGCTGAGATTAAGGGCAATTACATGGCCTGTGACATTATCACAGCTAACCCCATCCCAGGAACAACAGTCTATACCTTCCTTCCATGACTCAATCTTAGAATAATTTTCCCCACAAGAATCTGGATACGGAACAGTGTAATCGATGGAGAAGGATGTCTTGAATTGCAGCAAAGCAAGAGCCTCCTCATGAGAGCAGAGATGCGTTGTTGAGAAGGAAGAAGCATGTATAGAGGATGAGAAGGCAGTTTTAAGACAGAGGAAGACAAAAAGGAGGCAGAGTGGTGCAGAGAGCTTTGTGAAGATCCTCATATCTTTGTTTGGCTCAATAGAGTACTCTAGAAGAGTATATATAGAGTGTTTCAAATTAATGTATGCTAATAATTGAATATATTTTATCAAAACAAAAATAAATGAATATAGAC